TTGAGTGTTTACTATTGTCATTTTGCATTATTGATACACTATTTTCCTAATTAATGCTGTACAGTTGCTTTGACACAATCTGTATTGTTAAAAGCCCTATACAAAATAAAAGTGACTTGACTTGACTACTGTGAGGGTTCTGTCCTCCCTCTCTCTGCCATTCTTTTTTCCCCACCAATGTGTCTTCCTTGATCCAAGTTTCCAAACAAAATCATTCTGAAGCCATCTTGATTTATCAAAAGATAACCAAAAATAGTACGTTACATAGTACGGCTAGCAATGCAGTACTCATTCCCGTATCTCAGGGAACCGAGATTACGTTAGTAACCGAGTACGTTCCCTATCGATAGTTCACTCGTACTGCGTCTTGCTAAAAGACGCTATGGGAACCCAGTACAATCACGCCGTGTTATGGTAGAGGAACGACCGCATAATATAACCTCCTTAAGCATCTAATGTCCATAGGGAAGTATAACAATATTCTCCAAGGCTAAAACGGGCTAAATTCACAGAGATCACACCCGGCCGGTGTAATCGTTCCAGAGGACTCGTACAACTTCGGCACTCCATGGGCCGAGAGCATACAAGTAAACCGACCTGAAGAGCTTGAGCGTGTTACGCAAGTGTGTGCTCATTTAAGCAGAAAGGACCCTGGCCTGCAAGGCCAGGATGTCCAGGTTATAAAACCTAGCCAATGTGGATGGCGAGGCCCAGCCGGCCGCCGCACAGATCTCTGTAATCATGGACACACCGCTAGACCATGCCCAAGACAAGGCAATGCCTCTGGTGGAATGGGCTCGTACTCCAATTGGGCATTGCAGGCCTGAGGAAGAGTACGCTAGCGTAATGGGGTGTCTACTATCCACATAGAAACCCTCTCCTTCATGACTGGATGCTCTTTGCGGTTACCGAAGCTAACAAAGAGTTGTTCCGACCACCTAAACGGGGCAGAACGCTCAATGTAAATCCTCAGAGCTCTGACAGGGCAGAGCAAGGATAACTCCCGGTCCTCTTCAGAGGGAGGAAGTGCAGATAGCCCGATGATCTGCGCTCCGAATGGAGTGGATAGCACCTTGGGTGTATAACCATGCCTTGGTTTCGGGACGATCTTGGAGTCATTGGGCCTGAATTCCAGGCAGGCAGGGCTAACGGAAAGCGCCTGCAGGTCTCCTATTCGCTTTACCGATGCTAGTGCTAGAAGCAGAGCAGTCTTTAGCGACAGTGACCAAAGTTTAGTAGACTGTAGCGGCTCGAAAGGAGGGCCCTTCAGGGCCCTCAGCACAGTGGGCAGATCCCATGTATGGATAGTGAGGGGGCGAGGCAGATTCAACCTCCTGGCCCCCATCAAGAAGCGGACTGCCAAGTTGTTCCTGCCCACCGATTGGCCCGCTATAGGGCATGGGAGGCCGCTATAGCTGCTATGTAAACTTTGAGTGTGGATGGGGAGCGTCCCTTATCCAGCAGCTCTTGCAGGAAGGACAAAACCACTGATAAGCCAGAGGTAAACGGGTCTTCACCGTGGTTTAGGCACCAAGCGGAGAAAACAGACCATTTAAGGGCGTAGAGGCGTCTTGTAGACGGGGCTCTAGCCTCCGAAATAATGTTTAACTCTAAACTCTGTGAGGCTTGTAGGCTCCCGTCGAGCAGCCAAAGGTCAGCACACAGCTCGGGCCTGGGGTGCCATATTGTCCTGTTCACTTGAGAGCGGAGATCTCGTCTCAGAGCAATGGGCCAGGGGCTGCTACATCCGAGTTAGCTCTGACAACCAAAGTTGGTTCTTCCAGAGGGGGGTCACCAAGAGAACCTTGTGCCCCTGTTCCCTGATTCGCCTGATTACCTACGGGATCAGGGCGATCGGGGGGAATGCATAAAGGAGGAGGTTGGGCCAGTCGTGGGAGATCTCGTCCCACGACCTTATGTTGGTACAGTTGGCCCTGGGTTCCTCCTTGTGCATGATAATGCCCGGCCTCATGTGGCCATAGTGTGTAGGCAGTTTCTGGATGACAAAGGCATTGATGCCATTGACTGGCCCTCATATTCTCCAGACCTGAATTCAATTCAGAACCAATCCAATTCAGGGATATTATGTATCGGAGCATCCAAAGCTGATATAGAGTAGAGAAAGAGGTACTGGTTAGCTAATGGTTACCATACTGTACAGTATATATCAGGACAATTATTCAAACAGAGATATCATCCCCAAAGCCAAGCCAATCATTGTTGATTCGCCAGCCCTGGTCCATGAGAATTATACCATTAATGTATAATTTTGAATATTGAATTATAATTGTGGAATTACGTTCCACCAAACAATAATTATGATTGTTTGGATTTCTTGTGCCCCTGCGTAATTCAGTCAGAAGTGGTTACTGCAATTACTGTAATGTAGTATTTATGGTGTTTGAATGTTTAACAACGATGTTATGGAGGAATTCGTATGGTGGCTGAGAGAGGAAAATGCGCTGCAAAAACAGAAATGCATGCAAGTATGCACAAACCACAACGAAGCCCTTACAAGAATTAACCATGGTTTTACTACAAATAAAACATAAAACCATTGTTACTACAGTTAAATCATGGTAACCACAAATGAACCGTGGTTTTGCTACACTCACTTACCATAGTTTAACCATGATATTTGTAGTAAAACAGTGGTCATACATTTTGGTAGATATGCCAAAACAAAAAAAAAAACATGGTTACTTCACAATGCTTGTGAAAATTAAACATGGTTTTATTATAGTAAAAGTGTAGTAACCATGCTTTTTTTTGGCATATTGATTACCATTTGTATAACCACAGTTGTACAAATACCATGGTTAAACTATGGTTAAGTATGTCTCAGCCATGTTCGCCATTTGCTTCAGTTCGCTATACATTTCCGATGTGGTCTGTGCATATTTGCAATGTGTTTCTGTATTTGGTTGTGTTTGAGTATTTGCAGTGCGTTTCTGTATTTGTTTGTGTTGTGAGTATTTGCAGCGTGTTTCTGTATTTGGTTGTGTTGCAAGTATTTGCAGCATGATTCTGTATTTTTTCGCATTATGAGTATTTGCAGCATGTGTGTTGTCAAACTGATGATTTTTTCTTAATTTGCAGGTGTTTTTTCTATTTGCATTGTTTTTTTGTTTTTTTTATTTGCAGCGCGTTGAGCTCTCTTGGCCACCGTGAAGAAAGCTATGTCAATTATTAGAAAAACATAAAACAAATACAACAGAAGTATTAATGGACTATTTAAATGAGCACATTAAAACTAAAGGACTTATACTTTAACTTCATCCCCCACCACCTACTATATTAAAGGAGAAAAAACATATTCACAAGCTGACTGCTGAAATGATTCAGAGTGATTTTCACACATTGTTAAAGCAGATTGATTGGTCCAGAAGGTTTATGAAAGGTAACATAAAAAGAAGCAGGGCAGACTCATATCTGCCTATATGGCTCTAAATTACAGCACACTGCATTTCCATTTTTCATCACAGATTTACACTGGAAAAATGTGGGCCGCTGTTGAGCTCGGGAGGGCAGTGGCATGCTCTGCTCCACTTAGTATGATAATTACATAGCAAATCTGTCTACTGAACTCATGCATTAAACATTAATATACCCAGTTCACTTAACTGGAGCACTGCCCCAACTGCCTATACAGACGAGCCGTGGCTGGTTTAATACCTAATAAAGTAGCATTTATAAACACATGTTGGGGGTTGGTTGAGTTATTACGGATTTAGAATGTTAAAATAGGGATGTCCTGGAAAAATGTTGGGAACCTGCTATAGAGGACAGGAAGGGTGTCAAACCTACATTGAAAACACTATAACAGTGCAACTTTGGATGGATACAGTAAAAACTGAACAAAACAAAAATACATTGAGCGTTTAAGAAATATTTACTACTACAGTATGTCAGGCAAATTCATATATCAATATTGTCAGTTAGGCTATTGTCATTTTCTCATGTCTCCATATCAAAGTGCTTTATAGTTCCTCAGAAGAGACAAGAATATGGATAAAAACAAACAAACAAAACATCTAAAAAGTTCCAAGTGTAGTAAAAACTGATGGTTGTTACTACAGCATATCATATTATACTGATCATTGTACTGATCCAAAAAGTGAGGGGAGGAAGGAAATGTAAACGTACATTAACAGTACCCTACACTACAGCTGACGATTACCATACATCAGGGGAATTATATAAACAGAGATGTCATCCCCAGAGCCAAGTCGATCATTGCTGATTCGCCAGCCCTGGTCCCTGAGAACTCCTCTGGCACGCATTACCAGGTCTTGGGCTGCCATTGTGTACCTGTGAAGAAAACACACAGTTAAATGCTATGCTATGCTATTTGCATTAATTCAATATCAATAGACACTGAGGAGGACATGTAGTATCTGATATTCTTGATGCTGCTCTGCTGCACTGTATGTTGTAAAATGTTACAAGAAAATTAAACATGGTTTTATTATAGTAAAAGTGTAGTAACCATGCTTTTTTTTGGCATATTGATTACCATTTGTATAACCACAGTTGTACAAATACCATGGTTAAACTATGGTTAAGTATGTCTCAGCCATGTTCGCCATTTGCTTCAGTTCGCTATACATTTCCGATGTGGTCTGTGCATATTTGCAATGTGTTTCTGTATTTGGTTGTGTTTGAGTATTTGCAGTGCGTTTCTGTATTTGTTTGTGTTGTGAGTATTTGCAGCGTGTTTCTGTATTTGGTTGTGTTGCAAGTATTTGCAGCATGATTCTGTATTTTTTCGCATTATGAGTATTTGCAGCATGTGTGTTGTCAAACTGATGATTTTTTCTTAATTTGCAGGTGTTTTTTCTATTTGCATTGTTTTTTTGTTTTTTTTATTTGCAGCGCGTTGAGCTCTCTTGGCCACCGTGAAGAAAGCTATGTCAATTATTAGAAAAACATAAAACAAATACAACAGAAGTATTAATGGACTATTTAAATGAGCACATTAAAACTAAAGGACTTATACTTTAACTTCATCCCCCACCACCTACTATATTAAAGGAGAAAAAACATATTCACAAGCTGACTGCTGAAATGATTCAGAGTGATTTTCACACATTGTTAAAGCAGATTGATTGGTCCAGAAGGTTTATGAAAGGTAACATAAAAAGAAGCAGGGCAGACTCATATCTGCCTATATGGCTCTAAATTACAGCACACTGCATTTCCATTTTTCATCACAGATTTACACTGGAAAAATGTGGGCCGCTGTTGAGCTCGGGAGGGCAGTGGCATGCTCTGCTCCACTTAGTATGATAATTACATAGCAAATCTGTCTACTGAACTCATGCATTAAACATTAATATACCCAGTTCACTTAACTGGAGCACTGCCCCAACTGCCTATACAGACGAGCCGTGGCTGGTTTAATACCTAATAAAGTAGCATTTATAAACACATGTTGGGGGTTGGTTGAGTTATTACGGATTTAGAATGTTAAAATAGGGATGTCCTGGAAAAATGTTGGGAACCTGCTATAGAGGACAGGAAGGGTGTCAAACCTACATTGAAAACACTATAACAGTGCAACTTTGGATGGATACAGTAAAAACTGAACAAAACAAAAATACATTGAGCGTTTAAGAAATATTTACTACTACAGTATGTCAGGCAAATTCATATATCAATATTGTCAGTTAGGCTATTGTCATTTTCTCATGTCTCCATATCAAAGTGCTTTATAGTTCCTCAGAAGAGACAAGAATATGGATAAAAACAAACAAACAAAACATCTAAAAAGTTCCAAGTGTAGTAAAAACTGATGGTTGTTACTACAGCATATCATATTATACTGATCATTGTACTGATCCAAAAAGTGAGGGGAGGAAGGAAATGTAAACGTACATTAACAGTACCCTACACTACAGCTGACGATTACCATACATCAGGGGAATTATATAAACAGAGATGTCATCCCCAGAGCCAAGTCGATCATTGCTGATTCGCCAGCCCTGGTCCCTGAGAACTCCTCTGGCACGCATTACCAGGTCTTGGGCTGCCATTGTGTACCTGTGAAGAAAACACACAGTTAAATGCTATGCTATGCTATTTGCATTAATTCAATATCAATAGACACTGAGGAGGACATGTAGTATCTGATATTCTTGATGCTGCTCTGCTGCACTGTATGTTGTAAAATGTTACAAAAATGTTATATTTTTAGACCCGTCAGCAGTCTAACACTGTGAATTCCAGTGTGATGCTTCAGTTTTAATGGAGAAAGAGTTCAAGGTAAGATATATGCTAATTGTTTTACGATACAAATTGTAAATGACCAGTGCCACAAACTACTCAACTTTTTGCCATTTTGATTTTGAACTGAAAATATGTAATTTACATGAATCTGATTCATTTAATTCATTTGAATGTGCCGAGACAGCTGGTTTCAGCATATTATTGAGAGTGAATGAGTGCATATTTTAAAATAAAAATATTTTTTGAAATTGGTTCAAATGCATGTCAATGAATTCTATTTCTTTTACTTATTTTCTTTACTCTCCAAAATCCCTTTTAAATCCTAGGTCTCAGTCAATTTGTGATCCTTTCGTCAAATTTCATGCGGCCCCCTAAATTGTGAGGCCCTGTGTGATCACACTTCGCACAGCTCTTGCGACAGCTCTGTATATAAACATAAAAACCTGTGAAGGTCATCAGGATCACAGTTGACCAGGAATGAGGTGACAGTCTCTGCTACTTCCTCATTGGAAAGGACATCCCACAGGCCATCAGTTCCCATCACCAACACATCATCTGCTCCATGCTCATATTGTGTCAATTTATACACTTTCACCTGCAGAGAAAGTATAGCTCAATACAGTAAAGTTTCAGGCTGGTGATATAAAAAACACAAAGCGAGAGATCCAGATAGTGAGTTTGGCATGCCAAATCCAGTAAGCCTGTAGTCTGGTTCTCCAGGGAATGGGGCATCCTGCTTGAGGCAGAGGAATTGGACAGTGGGTAGATCCATCAGTGAAGGAGAAGAAACAGAAAAGGAAGAAAACTGAGTGCTTAAATACAGTTAATGTAATTAACTGGAACTAATGACAGGTAAAAACTAATAAGAAACCATGGAAACTAATGATGACTACAAACACAGGCAAAAAAGGAACAGGGAAAACCAAAATGCAAAGAAACTAAACAGACCAAGACCATGACAAGTACCTGTTTTTAAAATTATTTTCAAAACATTTAAGGCACCCTCTATAATGCATGAAACTGGGCTATTCAATACAGGTCAACTCTGACAATAGTATGGCACAACAGTCATGTACATGCTTATAGTTAACACCGACATAAAAATGTGACTGGGTTTTATAGTAAGGTGGGCTTTAGACAGAGAGAGCTAGAGACAGAGAGAATCACATTAGTTGTATTGTAGTTTACATGACCATAAAATTGTTGTTATAATATCGGAGGCAGATATGTTATGCTGAAAGAGTCAAATAACACCTATGCATCAACTTAACTTACTGATTATTACTTTTCAATGGTTCTGAATTCTTTAGCTGCCAGACAACACTATAAATACAATATAACTATATCTAAATCCAGAGAATCGCTTAAACCATCATCATATCACAATATAAATGAGCAACATCACACTTGTAGCCTGTGATGGCCTGCCATATAGGGCAATATTGCACGGCTACAAGTGTGAATCGATTATACAACAGTTTGACGGCGCAAGTGTGTAAAGTAAATAAAAAACAACCAGTGTCTTAAAAAACATTCTGCGTCTAACAAATGAGCCCAAACCTTTGTTACTAATTCGAAAACGCCACTTTGGAACTAGTAATGAAGGAACGCTGAGCTGCTTCATTAAAAGCTTATTGTATTGTAGAGCAGAGAATTATGAGAGATCGACTGAGCGAATGTGATCTCATACACCATTCATTTTCAGCTCAATCTCATAATAGTTTGAATCAAAACATTAGTTTGAATGTCCACTAAGAAAGTCCACTATCTTTGTCGTAGTATCCTTTCAACTGTTGAGGGGTTTTCTGATGATTTGTTACATTGTCAATGCATCTGTTGGTTGCGTCTTACAAGTTGTTTTTGAAAGTAAAAATAATGTCTTTGTTTTCAACCTTGTTTCAGTCTCTATTAATATAAAAGTCTGCTACTGACTCATTAAGATCTCATTAAGTCTCTTGTCACCATCTAATGACGTAGCACACAAACCATTTCTCAATACCAAATAATATTATTAAATACTACAATTATTAATATAAAGTATTATTTATTAAACAATAATATTTATTATACTACATGCAGTGAATTACTTGAATCACATGGCGAACATAGTTCCAGACAGATCTTGACCGCATCCAGACAGATCTTGACCGCATTATGTCCATTATGTCCATATCACTTTCCCAAATGATTTCAGTTATTTCAAAGGTCCTTACAGCTTAAACCAGCAAAAGAACCAAACCCCACAACGACACTGACCAAGCAAATAAATACAGTAAACAATAGGATAAAAACGACATATTATTTCCATCTTTTTTCAACAAAATTACGTTTTATTATGTACGGAAAACACATACTCTATTTCTCCCACTCTCTCTGCCTTACAGATGCACACACAAACAGTTTGCACACACAGAAACATACGTGCTAATGTTGTTAGCGCGACTCTCACAATTTTATCAGTTTTCGTGCAAAACTTAATCTCATTTGACCTTCCTTAATGTTTGCCATTACTGATACTAATGTATATGTATTCTGAAGAATTCTGTGACGTTTTCAGGCCGGAGCGGAAAATCTTTATGTAGCAAATTAGCTCAAAAGGGAAATTTTTATAATTAATTATAACTGGTTATAATTAATAATAAATATTTCGATTAGATCTTAGAATTAACTGTAGCAGAATCAATATTATAATTATTTGATCTGTCCGTCCACCGAGCAGACAATATAATCATTTATCAATTCAAGGAAAGTTTATTTTCCTGGCCAAGGAACAATAGCTTTTCCTACTTTTATGCAGTACTAGCAGTAATTTAGCATGTAGCAAGGTTCAACATTCAGTGACCCCGAATTGTGAACAGCACACAGAGACAATCAATTGTGAATATAAGGGATTTAATAAATGAAACTACAGCTAACATACAACAAGACTAAGCAAAACACATATATACAGAATGAAGAAAAGTAAGGAAGAGAGAGAGAGAAGAGCAAAAGAATGGCAGTTACCTCTTTTTTGCCTGTTAGAACATGTGTTGTGGCGGCCACCTGAGCACGCTGATCGAAACTCACATGTGATTAAAACATACCTAAGAAAACCTGAAGAAATGATGGACAGTGTGAAGCGTGTGCATGAGAATACTAAACCCACTCTCGAAGAAGATACAAGCATGGACTGTACGCCAATTTCAGACACCCCGATCAACAGCCCTCTTACGAAAGTGCGGCAGCAGACATCCGAGCCCTCAAACTTGGAGGCGATCAAGAGGCTAGGAAAAAAGCAAGATATCTTCATGGAGAAGTTACTGGAAATAGAAAGGTCGGTTGTATCCAATTCGACCCTGATATCTGAACTTGCTATCAAAGTTGAATCAGTTACTGACAAAACAGAGAGGACTGTAGTTAAAACTGATGAGCTGGGTGTTCTAGTAGCGGCTGTAATTGCTGAAAATAAACAACTGTGGGAAAAAGTTGACGACCTGGATGCATACAAAAGACGGTGGAATTTGAAAATCTCTGGTGTTCCGGAGGAGGCAGGAGAAAATGTGAAAATGGCCGCAATGGATATTTTCTATTTTATATTTTGAGGGATGCTCTCCAAACGTCCATTGATGTTGCACACAGAATCGGTCCGAGAGAAGCAGGCGCATTTCCACGGCGGATTATTGTGCAGTTTTTGTCACGTAGCCTACCCATCGGGATCGCATTTGGTTAGACTCAAAAAACTCTGAAGTCCTCAAGCAGAAAGGTATCAAAATAACAGAAGACCTGACACAACGAATGAGAGAGGCATGGAATAAACTATGGCCACTGGTAAGTCAAACCAGGAGAGAAGGAAAACGAGCTGGGTTCAAGGGCTCATTTGCCATTATTAATGGAAAGTAGATTACAGTGGATAATATGTGAATTACGTTAATGTTTGCCCTTAATCCCATTTGAGGATTGGAAACTGACACTGAATATACTCTACAGGCACGACTGTGAACTTCAGGCAAAGAAGATTTTTGTTTTGTTTGGTTTGGTTTTCTCATGGCACTTCCTGTTGAATATATCAGGATGTAATATTTCTTAAACAATTTGATGCTTAAGTGTGGAAGGTTAAAAAGATAGGTTTTGCACTTTGCTCATTTCGTGCCTAGCTAACTCTCTTGCCTTAGGGCAGATTGTTCTTCTTGTTCTTATTCAATGTACTTTAACTTTTCTTGTTTTTCTCTTAATGTTCGGGGGATTCATGACCTTACTAAACGAAAAGCCTTATTTTTATTTTGTAGTTCTAAAAGAAGAGATGTGTATTTTTTTTTTTTACAGGAAACTCTTTCTAGTGCTAATGATGAGTCTTTTTGGTCAGCACAGTGGGGAGGTAAAGCTTTATTTTCACATGGGTCTTCTCATTCTGGGGGAGTTATAATTTCATTTAACTATCATTTTAATTGTAAAATGACGACAGTGCAAGACGAGAGAGGACCAGTCCTGGACTATTTATGTTGTTTTGGTTCTGTTTGTGCGCGGCAGTTGTCCATGAGGGGCTGTCGCGGTATTATCAGTTTTGTGTTTATTTTGTTATTAAATTGTTTAAATGTTCGCCGGTTCCTGTCTCCTTCTTCCCATTCTACAAACTTTGTTACAGGGAACTTTTTAAGTATGAGTGTCGGAGATTCTCTATACAGTTTGGCAAACAGAGTCGAGAAGCTCTGCAATCATAAAGGAAATAAATAATATTTTATGTCTGTCCTCTCCTAGTGAGCAGGACAAGGAGAAGTTATATTTATTGAAGGAAGATCTTGATGTTCTTTATGCAGAGAAGGCCAAAGGCGCATTTGTTAGATCAAGGGCAAAATGGTTAGAATTTGGCGAAAGGAATTCCACATATTTTTTTTAATTTAGAAAAAAGAAGAGGTGAATTAAAAAGAATTTTAGCCCTTGAAATTAATGGTAATCTCATTTGTGATGAAGCCAAAATGTAAAAATTTGTAGCTGACTTTTATCAGCAACTTTATACTTCTTTTCATTCTGATTCATTCGGGGATAGTCGTGGCCTAATTGTTAGAGAGTCGGACTTGTAACCCGAGGGTTGCGGGTTTGAGTCTCAGGTCCGGCAGGAATTGTTGGTGGAGGGAGTGAATAACCCTCAATACCACGACTGACGTGAGACCCCCAGCTGCTCCCCGGGTGCTGCAGAAATATGGCTGCTCACTGCTCTGGGTGTGTGTGTGCTCACTACTATGTGTGCACTTGGATGGTTTAAATGCAGAGCACTAATTCAGAGTATGGGTCACCATACTTGGTCACATGTCACTTCACTTTCACTTTTTCACTTCACTTTCTGATTAATCTAATAAATTTTTCTTTGAGGTGGAACCGTTTATTCCAAATATAAGTGAAGATAATTATGCTGTTTGTGAGGGTGAGATAACTATGGAAGAGATGGATAGTTAAATTACAAAAACGCCATTTAATAAAAGTCCAGGCCCCGATGGTCTACCATTTGAATTTTATCGATCATTTTGGAATGATATAAAATATTTGATTTTAGTTGTTTTCAAAGAGTGTTTAGACCATGGCGAATTATCTGAATCGATGAAGCAAGGCCTAATAACTTTA